TTTAAATTTATTATTTAATTATAATATATGTAATTCTATTATTAAAAATCAATATTATATGAATGATTATAATTTATCTCTAATATTATAATTTGAATTTAATAATAACAAACTCAATAATAAAAAATTATTATCTTTAATAACAAAAATAAAATATTAAAGATGAATGAATTTTTATTAAAAATAATATTTGTATCTTAAAACAAATTAATTATTATTTGATTTTTAAAACAATTATTTATAATATATCTTTTAACTAAAAAGTTTAATATTATCAAAAAATTATTAAATTTTATGGTAAAATTTATCTAAAAACAATTCATCAAACTTAATGACCAGTTTTAACAAATTGAAAACTAAGATAATAATTAATATTATGATTAAAGAGAACTAAATTAATAATATTGATATTATATAAAGTTATATTAAAAAGAAGATAATATCAGAAATATTATAATAATTTTGCAAAATAAATTACTATTCTTTATTACAAATAATATAATATTGAATTCAAAACTAAAAATAGTTAAACTAAAAAAGTAAAACAATAATTATCTAATAAATAATAAAAATTAACAAATATCTCATTATAGAATTAGCTCTCAAAAATGAAATTTGATTTGAATACATAATATAATATAATAAATACAATAAATATTTGAATTAATATTTTGAAAGTGTATATTATCTAGTTGATAATACTATTTTTATTTTATGTAATAAATATAAGAAACAAAGAAATTAAATTTATTAGTATTTGCAGTTTGTGAATATTATATTCTTGCAAAAGAAATATATATTTCTAAAAGCTATAATAAAAATACTTTTATATTTATAAAAAATAATGTATTTATGAGTTTAATCAAGAAGAATAGTAAAATAATTGTGAAACTATTCAAAAAATCAGAGAATAAAAAGCTCTAATAAATATTTATCTCATCTGTAATAAAATTAGAAAAGTTATCTTATCTTGATATATCTAATTTAATGATACTGATAAAAAATAGAATTAATTTAATATATTAGTCCTAAAGAAGTTTTAGCTAATAAAATATTTTAATAAATCTATCAACAAATGTTATTAGAATATTATATATAACTTGTCAAGTTTGAGTATATCAATATTAAATTAAATATTTGATTTTTTATAATAATAATCAATATAAAGATTATTAAAATTCAAGATTTTAGAAATCAATCTGTTTGTCAACAAGGATAAAATATTAATATATTCAAGATCAGATCCAGAACCTGAAAAAATATTAACTCAAATTAAGAATATGATTAGCTTTTTATAATAAATAATATTAAAAATCAAAACCAAAATGAAAAACCAAATAATTAATGAACTTGACAAATTATTTAAATATTATATTATTAACTCTACTGAGTTACCAATTCAAAAGAAGCAAATCTGGTTATTAAGATCTATAACAATAATAACAAAAATACTATATCTCAAAAAACTCATAAAAATAATATTGAATTTAATATAAAATATACTAGAGAAAAACTAATCAAAATACAACTCTAATAAATTATATATATTATTTTTTTTATTGCACTTAAAATATCTTCTGGAATTGTATGTTAATTTATATCTTATTTCTTATTGGTAAAGAAAGAAATTGAAATGAAAGCTAAAACTATAGATTTTGGTTATATTGAAAATATTGGAATATTATTGTACAATAATTCTCAAGTTTCATATACTATTTAACTACAAGAATAAATTGTCCAAGCAATATTTTTACAACTTGTACCAATTGAAAGAACAAAATCTATTTCTATCTGACAAGAACTTAGAGAATCTATCTGTGAAACTGGTGAATTTGATCAACTAATAATGAAGAAATCAAACCATTTTTTTTAACCAAGAAAAAGATAATGATAAACCAGTAAAATAATGAGAACTAACTAAGTGCTCCATATTTATATTCCATATATTCTCTCTTTTTTGATCACAATTTATCTTGATAATCCATCTGGTATTCTTTTTCATTTTTGTCTCAATTTTCATTTTCATTACAGTTTTCTTTCTCTCTTTTGTTACAAATCTCTTTCTTAAACATTCCATTTAGTGTTTTTTATTTTCATATTATTTTCACAGTTTTCTCTCTTCGCCTCATGGCTCTTTTTTATTGTTCTCTTTTGACTAAAACATGATTTTCTTCCTTAAATATTTTTTATTATTTTAAATATTTTCTCTTATCATTATGATTTCTCTCTTAAACAAAATAAAACTCTTAATTATATTTTACATACTTTCCCAAATAATATTTTTTATTTCTTAAAATTATATTATTTTTATCTCGATTGTAGTCATATAGAAAAAATGATGTAAAACTCTAAAAAAAATATATATAAAAAAGGCCTACAATAAAAAAAAATCAGAATTTATCAGTCGCTAACATTAACAAAAAACGTGATAGCGATAGTGTGATTTTTGTTACTAGCAATTAGCGTCAGCGTTAATAATTAATTTTCGCTTATCAAGTCGTTTGCGAAATCTTCGTCGTTTACTTGCTATGTTTATTAGTAGACTAGAAATTTCGAGTTTACTTAAAACTTGGATTATCATTATCTTTTATGTATCGATATCGATATAATATTAACAAAATTTTTAATGTTTGAAGTTTAATTATGCATTTACTGCATCAAAAGTAAATACGTATGCAGTATTCAAGCGTTAATAAATATGTAAAATGATTTACAATGAAATACTGTTTTTTACGTATTGCATATCAATAGAACGATGATGTTATTTTTCGATTTTAGTAGCTATATTAAACAAACCATTTCTCATAGATATTGAATATCGATGTTAAGTTTTACATATACTGTATATTTTTATATACTTTAATTGTTATTAACCTTTTATTTTTATAAAAAAAATAAAAGAATACATATGTTTGGCCTCAGTACTTGATACTTGTTGGTTGACAACTTGATCTGGTAAAAAAGTAGAATAAGATATCTGATGAAAATAGCAATTTCTACAAGCTTTTGATTCTTCTGCGTAAATGTAAATTCTTTATTGATGGGTTAGTATTTACCGTTACGTTCTACATTAAATTTTATTATGGTGACGAGTTCTATCGCTTGGTTTTCTCACAAAAAGCCATCCACCAAGAACACGAACACTTCCTACCTCTAACACTTCATAATATACGCGCATTTCTTTGAAACTAACGACGCAATATTTCTATTTTCGAATAAAAGAATAAGTAAATAAAAGCGAAAAAAAATCTTCTATTGATTAATTTTTCCACCTTGCTTTGAGATAATTTAATCGATTGTACTTCGCCGCCGAATTGAACATGTAATGCATATTTTATTCTTTCGATATTGATGGTTACAATCTCAAGACCGAAAAGTAATACTTTTGGGGTTTCTTTTGATTGCTCGTCGTCTATATTAAAGTAGGCGTGAATCAGAATTTTTTGATCTGTCATTCAAATTTGTTATCAACCCTTATAAAATAAAAATAAAATACAAGACCTTCTTCATCTAGCATGTGAAGTTTCAACATCTCACATTTGTCGCAGAATTTGTTAGTGGAAGTGATTGAAGTTTGATTAGATGATGAACTGGTGCTGCTCCTAATTAAAAGTATGAGTATTTATTTTCTTATTTGACCTCTAAATTATTAAACAAGAGATAAAAATTTATTTTCTTATTTGACCTCTAAATTATTAAACATGAGATAAAAATAACTTACATTTTTAATTAATGGCTCGTAGGTTAAGTTTTTGACAGGAAAAATTAGTAATATTATGGGAAGAAAACAATGTCTATTTATACAAGCAAATGATCCTGATGCAAAATGCATCATCAATCATGATAATTCAAAAGCTGGAATTTACGTGTTGCATACCGATACATCTTAAACTAAAATGATGCCCTCTAAGATATTGTGTTTTTACTAAAGGGCGTGACTTATTCTATACATACGTAGCACAACGGGTTTCGTGTCGCAGCCCATAAGAATGCGATTTATCGTGGCACAGACCAATAGCGATAGGGATGTGCAAATTTTTGATCAGCCCAGCAAAACACAACACGACGCAAAAAAAATGAAAAATGCGAGAAATGCGAAAATCTAATTCGAGTACTAATAAGATGTCGGTAATATAACTATCAACTTTTGGGTAATTTTTATGGCTGCGCAACATTACAGATAGCAGAACGTAGATCGGTAACATAATGTTAAAAATTGATTTTAAAGGTTAGCGTTAAGTTTAGGGTTTGAGGTTAACGTTAAGCTTACGTATAGGTAAAACTGTCTCTCCGACATTTTTTATTAGTACTTCAAACTAGATTGAAGCATGCGTCTCACATTTTTTCATTTTCTTTGTGTCGGATTTGTTTTTCCGGACTAATATAATCAGTCCAATAAGGATACGTAGATTTTTGATCAGCCCGGGAAAACGAATCCGGAGCGCGAATAAAAATATGAAAACAGATGCTTGGTGTACTATAAAAAATGTCGGTGAGGCAATTTTATGTAATCCTGAACTTCACTCTAGCTCTGACCCTAACCCCCAAGCTTAAAATCAATCTTTAATTATGTAGTAGCATGTTACGTGATGACCAGAGACATTCACAATTTTAATTTTTAATTTGCGTATTCTTATTGGTTTTTGTACTAACCGGCATTCATTAAACCTAAGTTGCCCCTTAAAATAACTAATACATGTATCATAATAAATATGTATTTTTAATTTCAAATTGAAATCCTGTTCTTTCGTAAGGTTTGCCATGTGAATTGATTACAATTGGCGTTTACTGCGGGCGTTGCATTACGAACGAAATTTTCTTTATTATGCTAAAGAGAGCTTGTAGAAAAGATTGCAACACGGTTTCGTGTCAGTCATGATCATCGCATTCAAAGACAAAGGATAACTTTTCATTTATTCCACCCCTAAATATATTCAAGAATTTGTACAGATATCAAAAATAACTAAAAACTTTTTACAATACCAATTTACAAAAATATTTTATGCTACGATAGTTTGTGTCGGAATATTATTAAGACTATTAAGATTATTAATATGATTAACAGTATTTATATTAGTAACAATCTTGCTGTTGTTCATCGTCATTTGCTTAATTATTTGTTGCTTTTGAATGATGATTTTTTGTTGTTTTTTGATAAGTTCAAATTGGTGTTTCTGTTGTACTTCACGTTTCTCATCTTTCTCGCCCTTTGGTAATTTCTGCTGTTGATCATAAACCAACCATTGCCTAAAATATTCATCACAGAATCGTAATTGCGCATCTCGTTGATCATAACACATTAAAGCAGGATGTTCAACAAGTCCGGCTTGCTCGGCAGATTTACGTTCACGTAGAATCAAGTCACGTTCAATTTCAATGAATTTAATACGTTGACGAATTTCCCATTGACGGCGTCCTTTAACTGTGCCAATTCTTTTCCATTCGCTGACTTTTTGTTCGAATTGTGGGAACCAGTAAAGACGATCATTGAACATCGGATGATTACGAAGCACCGGACTGATTTCTTGGACGGGTAGTTTTTCACCGGTCCAATCTTCACGTATTGATGGGATGTAAGAGTAAATGTGGTGTGGTATCCAATTTAATGGAGTTAAATCGTGGCCACTTTAAAATTTGATATTTTAAAATTTAGAATTTCGTATTTTAAAAGTTAGAATTTTTATAAATAATTTCTAGCAAAACAAAAAAAACCATCAAAACTGTTACCTCATAGTATTCATCAAGAAACAATTATGACAAGTTCTGACTCTAAACGTCCAAATAATCTTCACTACTACATCTCGTCGTTTACACGACTGACAACCACGTTCATACAAACACAACTCAATATACGTCTTTTCACACAAATCCGACGGTGGTGCAAGTGCAATTTCCGGTAACCAAACTAATCGCGCACGTCTCCAAATACCTTGTGTCATCTCCGAATCTTTACTACAAAGCAACAACTGAAATCGATAACATACTTGTGACAGCGCGAAAAGGTCATCGACATGCAAGTATTTGCAAAATTTGATGAACAGCTCGGGTGTAATATTGCAGAATAGTGATGAATTTTTCGGACGTGGTGTTGGTGCGGCTTCTATTTGTAGGGGAAAGTCTAGAGGTGGAATTGCGATAGTTATTGTAGGGATTCTGGTTGTTGTAACTGTCGTTGCCGTCGTTGCTGTCGTCGTCGTTGAACTGCTGTAATTTGAGTTTAATGACAATGATGATATTGAAGATAACGACGAGGAAGAAGAAGTATTGTCGTTATACTTTCTCTTTGTCGACTGTTTATTTCCCATTATTGATTATAATTATTCTCGGAAAATATTGAAAAAAATTTTGTTATTTTTATTCAACTAAATCTTTTAAGAACAAAATGATTAGTTTTTCCGATGAAGAAAATCGGTCATAAAGAAAGAAAAAACAGACATGAAAAAAGTTTTTTGCAGAGCGAAGGAAAAAAATTAGGGGGAAAAGTTAAGGGTTAACCAAACGCGGGTGTTACCCGTGTAGCATAAGGATTAATCATGAAGGTGGTACATATTGAATGTTTGTGCGCCAGCATCTACTTCCAAATAAAAAATATGGTACTTTCATAGATGTTGTACCATATCGATATTCGATTCTCGCTCGAATATAGTCAGTAGGCGTACGTATGTCTAAAATACGCGTGACTTGTATGCATGTACCTACTTACTATAATATTATCGTCTGTCAAAACTCGTAAAAGACAGCTGTACGTAGTCTTGAGGAGAAACAACCGTATGCATGTTATATAATGAGCCATCCATTATTAAGATAAAGATCGATACGTATCCCTTAAGTAGAATTATGAAGCGGGATGTCTGTGCAATGCCGCGTTTCGCTAGGCACGGTAGACAGCTGTAATAATGCTACTGGTGGAGAATTCAGTCGTTTATATATGAATCAGGCAATTATGTTTTCCACCCCTTTTTTATCTTGAATTGTGCAATCTGCGACTCGATTTTAAAAAATCACCTACATATATACACATAATATTATTATTGTTGTTATGACAATATCAATTACGAGAAAAATGGCAAAACAAAAATAATCCTAAAAACGACGCTGTCTTGCATAAATTTTACACTGTTGATTTTTTTTGTGCTTAATACTCGGACAAATTTCTGCATTTTGAGGATCTGTCCTCACGAATGCTTCTCGTCTCTCGCGTTTACTTTATCGTTATGAATAATATTGTCAAAAAATGTACGGAAAGGGTATAACTAAACAGATAACATGTTTAGTAAAGATACCTTATACTAATCAAACGCGTCATAATTAACGAACATAACAAAATTTGTCGTCTCCGTATGTTTGAACAAGTCAAACTCTTTCGTAGTTTGTATTATTAATCTATAAGTTTGTATGTTTGATTTGGTGAGAATGATATATTTTATGCATTTTTATTTAATTTGGTAAGTTTCGTCAAGTCATTAATCACAAAAAAAAAGAATTGACTAACGCAAAAAGAATTTTGTACATATTTGAGCTACATAGTAATGGGAGGAAAAAGGAAAGTGTATTGCAAGATGAAGAGCAATATGGTACTCAGTTTTTAGATGAGCAGCTCTAATTATATCTTTAATTAGACTTGTATCGAAACCACAAATTGTTGGCTCCGCCCATTCGTACTTTTGGTGAACAATAGCTTTTGCCGGCCGAATTGCGTAGCATAAATTCTTTACCGATTGTTACATCAATAAGCCTTATTTTCCCATGCTATTCTCGAGATCTAGATATTTGACATGCTTGAAAGAGCCAAGTTGAAACAACGAATAAGAACTTGTCCCATGAATTGTGAATCTGCTAGTGCCAAATAATGAATGCTTTCAGCTGAATTATATTATTGCTGCTGCAGTTGAATTTGTCGTATTTACAGAGGTTGATGTTGGAGCTGTTGATGAAATAATATTAATTTCTGATACAGATGTAGTTAATGGTATAGTAATCTCTGATGTCGGAGAGGTGATAGAAGATTCCGTCACTGGTATCGAGGTATCAGAATCCGAAGTTAATGAGATGATCGTAATAGCATCTGTTGGGAAAGACAATGATGTGAACTTGGAGGAGCGTGACAGGGTTAAATCTCGTACAATTGATTTTCTTAAAGTCGATGGTGTGTCGCTTGCGGGCAGAATGGTACTTGACATGACGAAACAAGAAAGGGACTAATTTTGTTGGTTAATCCAGTTGATACTGTACTGTGATATCGATATTGGCTAAAACGAGGCGATTTAAGGTTCATCAACAAATTGTGGACAACAATGGGGTTTTTTTCTTTATTTAATAGGGAAATTTCTTGTATATGTATGGTAAGACTCGGACAAAAAGTATCTTTGCTTCTTGGATTACGTAATTTGTAAAAGTTCGAATCAATCAGTATTAAGAATTTTTTGACAATGTGTGTGTATGTTTGCATTCAATTGGCCAATTAATTATTATACATGTAATAAATTTTTTTCCGTTATCGACAATTAATGTTAACATGATGTTACCAATATAAATCTATCGTTATGGCGATCTTGTCCCATGTTTTCTATATCCAATCCTAAATTACTAGCATAATAAAATAAGATCACATGAACAGCACTATGCGCCAAAATCAATCAACATTCGATAGCGATAGTAGACTACGTATCATGGCAGAAAAATTTGTTTCCGGCCCTACTGAACTGATCATCCAACGCACATGATAATCAATTTGTTTTCGTTATGTATAATGATCATGAGCTCAGTTGCACTTCGCTTATTCGCTTTGTTATCTGGATGCTTATACTGACAGTCAGTTCTTTGAGTACAGCCTAGATGAGCTGTTGCGTATCCTGTATATTGATTATTCTTCTTATTTCTGTAAAGGTTCTGAAGTTTCCAATATAGCCTGATCCCACTTGAAGAAATATTATCAAAGTATTAATGATATTAGCATTATTTTGATGAATCCAGGTAAGAACACTTTCTCATCAATTATTTTTCCCTCAATTTTTACTATCACAGAGAATTTAACGTATTCATCCTTTTCCTTACTATTTTGAAAGTTGATAGCCACATGCTCTTAAGATTACATACGTCATAAACAAGCCATCTTTATTATTTTCATTTGTAACTCTGGATGTAACATTATTGAGGACTGAATGTTAAGTATTAGTATTGCGTAATTGGATTTTGAGTTGTTTATTTTGTCTGTCTCATTCAGTGCAGGAATTATATATCGATAAGGAAAACGTTGCAATGTTATTTCCTCATTGCCGTACAAATTCAGTGATTAATGGATCTTTCTACACTAAGAGCATATTTTACTTTCTCCAACGCTATGGATGTCTAGGAAATTTAAATTTTAATATAAAGTTTAGGATTCGAAAGTTTACACAAACGGCTTCCAAGTAAAAATGGATAAAACGCAGCATTTTAATATTAACTAACCATCGATAGTGTTGTTCAGAACAGACATTTTTTTCTTCGAGACTTGGTTGTTTAAATGAGATTTTTAGCAGCTATTTTATAAACTAAAATTCTTTTTTCTAATAAAGACGCGTAGGATCAATTACTGTCATCAATAACTCGGAAATTATATAATCAGGTGGGCTTTTCACGTATTTCTTGCTAGTTTCATTTATAAAGACGCCGTATTCAGTAGGGTCAATCCATTGAATAATTCAGAAACGGTATAGTCAGGTGGATTCTTCTGTGTATCTTTTGCTGATTTCGTTTAATATGATAATTACTAAAGCTAATCCAATTTCCTTTGGTATCATTAGTTCCATCGATAAAAGGTGTGGACGAGTGTTTACAATGAGAATTAAGAATAGGTAAGTTTATTTTTAAATTATTGATTAATGCTTACTTTGATTAATTTTACTTTATTATCGATTAATACTTTTGTAGTTTTCCGTGAACTACTCAATTGATACAAGTTTTTAATATAGAATTATATTATGGGTTTGTAAAGCATGTATTTTCACGAGTATTCTCATAATCTTTAATAAATGATTTATTTCAAATGAATAGTTTTATTAATCTCGAAAATTTCTATAATGATTACATTCAATTGCAAACGATTCACATATCTTGCCACCATTCTTTTTTCCCTGTCCCGTTTTCTACCAGTTAACTCTAAACTTAGATCCATATACCACATAAGAACATCACGTGGTCCGGTGTGACCGGAATATGGGATCGGATATCCGGATTTGGAAATTTTTCTCGTCTACTATTGGACCAACTAGACCACTGGACTTCTAAAATAATACACACTTTGTTTATTTGTTTATTTTCGCAATACATGTGTACATGTAGTAAAGTTTAAATGTGTCATGTAAATTGATCGTTAAAATGGACCAATAGGAGTTTTTTAAACATATGTAAATTACGCCAACAAAACATGGAAGTACAAAATACGTATATTTGGTGAAATTAAGAAATTAAAAAAAATAAACTTTAGTAGCAATAATAAAAAAACACGGAAAGTTAAGTACGAGAAGAAATTGAGACAGCATAAAATAATGAAAATATGGCTCGTTTTTTTTTTCGAGTGAGAGAGAACTGCCTGAAAGACATTGTTTTTGCATACAGTATATGAAAGTCACTATACTGTATGGAGAGTGCAACACAAGCACAACTTGAATACAAGTTTCACAATAAGGGTAGCCAGCCAGCCGTTGTAAACTTGGCGTATTTACATATATATTAATACCTTCCAATTCGTCTTTATATTGATTAAATCATTAAATCATCGTGTTTATATTTAAGCCTTTATTTATATCAAAATCAAACAATTAAATTTGAGACGGCGTAGATTATAGCGATAGCGCACCACGTAATATAAACCACGTAATATAAGAATATTTGGCGAAACGCACTTTTTATGTTTTCTGTATAAATCTCTGGTGGAGAAACACACTTTTCTATCTTTTGACATTGTTTATATAAAAGAAAAAACAACGAGAAAGATGTCGAATTCGACATTTTTGGTATACTTAATCTCAATACTAATTATTGGACTATACTTTTTAACAAGACATAGTACTTATGAAAGTGAAGATGATGACTCACTATCGTCTTCCTCCGTGATAGCGAGTTCAAAAAAACTTCATGGGAATTTTCTACATATAACTGATTTACATTCAGACCCACATTACAAAATAAACGCAACATTTAAATCTCGATGTCATAAAATGTCGAAAAAAATCGGCAAGAATGATAATAATATCGATAATTATGGCAAAATTAATATCGGAGATGGCATTTATTCGAAGAAGCCTAAACACATGAAGCATGGGATTTCAGGCGTTTGGGGTGGTCCCGCGTCTATTTGTGATACGCCAATGAACTTGATAAATGCTACGTTTGATTGGTTGAAGCAAGAGTGGGCGGGTAAAATTGATTTTGTTCTTTGGACTGGTGATAATTCTAGGTAATACTTTTGCAAAATCCATACGTTACTGATATTATGATAATTACTAAAAAAGAATTATTTACTTGAATGCTAGACATGATAACGATGACCGAATTCCACGTAAAAACCCGGAAATCCTTAAAATAAATCGCATAATTGCTTCAAAATTCCAAGAAACATTCTCGAGACCCGGTAAATATTCATCAATGATTCCAATAATACCCGTAATCGGGAACAACGACATCTACCCAAGTAACATAATAGCACCAGGTCCAAACAACAGTCTTCAAAAACTAAGTGAAATTTGGTCCGCATTCATTCCAAAATCGGAAATGTCGACATTTCGTAAGGGAGGATACTATGCGACAGAAGTGATCAAGGGTAAATTAATCGTTGTCTCATTGAACACGTTATATTTCTTTCGACTGAACACGGCGGTACAAGGTTGCGCGGATCGGTCACAGCCAGGCACCCAACAAATCAAATGGTTGGATAAAGTACTACTAAAGGCCAAAAAACAACAGAAAAAAGTTTATTTGATCGGTCATGTGGCACCAACAAAGGGACATTATACGAGAACATGTTGGAACAAGTACGGAAAATTGGCACAGAAATATAATGATGTTATTTTGGGTCATTTCTTTGGACACTCCAATATGGACCACTTTTATTTTATTCGTTCTACCAAAAAAGGAATTGTTAAATTATTAAATGAAAAATTCGAGGATGATGATGATAATGAGTCGGATGATGGTAATGAAAATGATTCAGATGACGAATATGAAACATATGAGGACGAAGAAGAAATAATGTCTCCGTTTGATTATGAAGATGACGAGGATGACGACGGCGACGACGGAGGAATAATACACTCAAGTATATTGAGAGTTGAAAAATTCGCCAGTAGATTGTTGAAGCATTATAGACAAGTCCCATCGTTAAATAACATGGCTATAAATCAATATAGTGTAATTCACGTGAATCCTTCCGTAGTTCCAACGTTTTACCCAGCTTTACGAGTATTTCAGTACAAAATTGATGAAGATGAAAATATTGAACGTAGAAAAGGCAAAAAGAAAAAACAAAATAATAACTATCTTGCTCCTCTCAACTATATTCAATACTTTATAAATCTCACTCATGTTAATCACGATCTATATTCAGCCAATCAACCCAACTTTCAAGTAGAATACACGACCAGAGATGATTATAACATGACAGATCTATCAACTCATAGTTGGCTGAAATTGGCGAGAAGGATCGTAAGAGATGCAAGGGAAGATGGTCCGTTGTTTAAAAAATTCAGGGATTATCTGGTTGTTTCGACTCGTGAGATGGTTGAAGATCGTATCAAGAAAGGATGGATTAATAACGATAAAGAATCTAAACATCAATGTGTTGGTCAAAGTTGTACAGAAGATTAGTTTTATTATCGCTATCGTTATTGGATGTTTGAAACATACATCATAAACACGTGACTGATATCTGTTCATAATAAAAACAGATAATCTATAAAACTCAATTAGCAAGTCTATTGAAACGAATATATCAAATTTGTCATGTTACTCTTCACATGGCACCCTCTAAATTCTACATACTAGTTTGTATTATATAGGCATTGTCAAATTTACATGAATTATTATCAATAAAATTATTTCTGTTTTGATCACATGTATTCTTAGTTATAAGCTGATTTAAAATATTTTTAAGATTTGTAATTGTTGTAATTTATTACAATTACAATTGTTGTAAAATAAAGTTTTATTAGTTTTTTAGAAACTTTAAAGTAATAAATTATAATTTACTATTTTAAATTAATAATTTAGTGCAAATATATATTTAAATATTGAACTTTGAATATTAAAACAAATTATAAAAAAGATTATTCTTTTCAATTTGAAATAATTAATATAAGTAAATTTGTTACTTTTAATATTTAAATAATTAATTTAATTAATAAATAATAAATATAAATATATTATAACATGTAATTTTTTGATTAAATATTTATAAAATTTATATTTAATTAACAAAAATTGGAATTTTATAAATATTTTATATAAAAAATATTCATATAATAACTTGCAAATTATTATATATATAAATTCTTGAAATTCAAAAAATTAAAATTTTCATATTATAACAAAAATTTTATTATATTAGTAAAGATTTTTTATTATTATATTTAAAATTAAAAATTTATATTTTAACTAACAAAATTATAAAATTAGTCATATAATTTTCTTAATAAAATATAGTAAAAATTGAAATTTTTATCTTATATTTTCTAATAAAAATAATAATAAATATGTTTTTAGTTTATATCTTAATAAAATTTTTATATTTAAGTAAAAATAAAAAATTATTTAAAATATAATAGTAACTTGCAAAAAAATTAAATAATATTGAAATTTATTAATAAAACATAATAAATATAGATTTTTCTTTTTTATAATATTTTTTACTTTTATTAAAAATACAAATAAAAATTTACAATAATTAATAGAATTATGAAATCATATATATAATTTTATTAATAAATATAATAAAATTTGAAAGTTTATCTTATATAAAGTTTTTAAATTTATTAATAAATAATTATATTTTGATATAAAAATAAAAATTATTTATTAATAAAATTAAAAACTTTATATAAGACAAAAATTTCAAATTTTACTATATTTATTAATAAATTATACATATAATTTTATAATTTTATTAATTACTATATATTATAATACAAACTGCAAATAATTTAATTAATTTTTTATAATTAATAAATTAAATTTATATATATATTACTAATAGTATATTAATATATTTATTATATTTTTAAATATTTATAATAGATTTTTAAATATATAAATATATATTTAAAGTTTTATATTATTAAATAATTTTTTATAATATTATAGATTATTTTTAACAAAATACAATTACTTAATAACTTATTTTTATTCTTGATATTATTAAGTAATAACATGTTCTAAAAAATTTTTTATTATTAATTAATATTAAATAAAACCAATTTTAAATAATATTTAAATATTTAATAGCTTTTATATATAAAAATATTTAGATTATAATTTTTAAATTTTTATATAAATTTAAATTGTACTATATATAATATAATATTTAAATTCAAATTATTAATTTAATATTTTATTTATAAAATTAATTAATTTTTTAATAAGTAATTTTAAAAAAATTTTATTAAAATTTTATAATATATCAAATAACTTTAATTTAAAAAAAATTTATCTAATAAATATTATCAATAAAAAAATATTATTTTTGTATATTTTTAATAATATTAATTAAATAAAATAAACTAAAAGATTTTTTTTAAATTTAAAATATATTTTTATAATTTTTTTCAAACTTACTGATCAAAAATATTTTTAAATAATTTTTATTTATATTTAAATATTTAAATTTAATTTTGCACTATATTTTACAAAATATTATTATATTAATATACTTTATAATATTAAAAAATATATCTAAAAATTTTTAAATAATTTTTTATTAAAATATAATAAATCTATTTATTATTATTATTATTTTCTATTGCTACAGTGTAGTCTTATCCATTGTGTATAGCTATCTAAATTACAAAGAATCAGAAGATATGTGATACTACATGAATTATTTATATTACATTTAAAATATAAGATACGACTAGCCACCTTGAACCTATCTAAGAGCTACACAGGTACAATAGAATTTGTTAATAGTTCAGAATTTGATTGTAATTTAATGGTATGTTCAGTGATGATGTTTCCTGCTTTTTTGATTCTGTAAGACAAGGAATAAAGATTATTAGTATAATCTTCTTCGAGATGTTTGCATTCGTATAGGTGAGGATGTATTCATATATGGGATTTTGTTTTTGTGATGGCTGTTGAATTAGAACCAATAGGTCTTCCTTGTTTTGATTGTGATTTTAGTTTTTTTTGTTTGCTTGTGATTTTTAGGGTTTTTTCATATAAGTTGATTTATTTGCATCTTGGAATCCAGATGTTTTTTCGAGTTTTGGTGGAGAGCCAAAAAATAAAACTTGAAGCTGCTATTCTGGCTTGTTTGATATTTAGATCTAGTAATTTGATGAAGTCTGTTAGTTCTTGTGGGACTAAGTCGTGATATAGATCTTCTGGAAGAAGTTTCTTTCCTATTGATATTTGAGATAAGTTTGTGATTTGAGATGAGAGAAGGATGAGTGTGAAAGGTTGAATTTTGCTAAGAGTTATAATGATGTTTGGATTCAGATTTTGTTGTGTGATTAGTTGATGTAACTTTTTGGATGCTTTGAGATGAATAACGTTAATTAATTCTGTTGTTGATGAGCATTTTCAAATATGTGGTTGTGTTTTTTGTTCAATATTGCATTGAGAACAGATGTCGTTAGTGTATATTGCCAGTTTTCTGAATTTGAGATACGTAAATGTGAGTAACATGTTGTGAAAGCATTTTATATAGTGTTATCATTTGATATTTTGGATCACATGTAAAATATCATGTGACATATTTTGATAATCATTTATATTTCCTTTTATATCTTTCTATTTATATTTTTATTTTTAATTAATTATTAATTATTTAATTTATCTAATTTACACATAATTTATCAAAAACA